GTGGGATCTTCCCGGACCGGGGCACGAACCCGTGTCCCCTGCATCGGCAGGCGGACTCTCAACCACTGCGCCACCAGGGAAGCCCCCTTGCTAGCTTTTTAAAATTAATCTTTATTGGCGTATAGTTGCTTCACAACGTTGTGTTAGTTTCTGCTGTACAGCAAAGTGAATCAGCTATACGTATACATGTATCCCCTCTTTTTTGGATTCCCTTCCCATTTAGGTCACCACAGAGCACTGAGAAGTGTTCCCTGTGCTGTACAGGACGTTCTCATTAGTTACCTATTTTATACATAGTAGTGTACATATGTCAATCCCAATCTCCCAGTTCATCCCACCCTCCCTTCGCCCCCAGTACCTTGCTAGCTTTTAATTTGGGGGGGGGGTGTTCTACTTAATTTATAAGATATCTAATCTTCACCTGGCTATCCACAATGTATAACATAATGGCTGACAAAGAGTAGGCATAAAATGAAGTTTGCTGAACAAATGAATGAATCTTTTTATATGTAAGATAATATGTCATAGGTAACAAATACGTTCCCAGTCTGTCCTTTTCCTTTTGATTTAATGAGGGAAACTTAGACATGCAAACATTTTCTTTTTATGTAATCACATATTTATGCTTGGTGGTTTCTGTCTTTGGGATCAAGATAAGCAAGGCTCAATTATAATAATTTTATGAAATGCCTACATTTTTAATTAAAAATATTTAATTCAAATATGTTTCAGTTTATGATATGAAATTAGATATCTAACCTTTTTTTTTTAATGCTTAACTAGTTGGCCCAACACCGTTTGTTAAACATTCCATATTTTCCACATTGACTTGAGATGTCTCCTCACCCAGACAAATACTTCTGTATTTATACTATTCGTGTGCACAAAAACTGTTTATTTTTAAGTGTTCCCTTCTGTTGCATGGCATTTCTATATGTTCCTGCAAAACCCCATATTCTTCTAATTATTGAAACTTAAAATAGGTTTCAAAGTCTGGTAGGGCAAGGCCCTCTCATTTTTCGAAATGCAGGGTCCTACTTTAGCACCTTTACTTTTACAGGTGAACTTTTGTAAAGTTTCCCCAAACATTTTGTTGGTACTTTGATTGGCATTGTGTTAAATTTATTCATTAATCGACATCTTTACAATATTAAATCTTCCCACCTCTCCGCCAGCTGGAAGTATTTTGTCCTTCCTCTGAACTCCCTTAGCACTTTATACCTTTTTAAAAATCACTTTTCTAAGCTATACCCACCCAATTTTTCAAACCTGAAACCCGAGAGTCGTCCCCTCCCCTTCCTTCCCCAACCTTCACCCCATCCAATCAATCATCAAGTCCCGTCAATGTTACCTCCTAAATTTCATCCACTTGTGCCTGTCCCCACCACCAGCACTCTAGTCCAAGCTGCCATCATTTCTGGCCGGGGCCACCACACTGGCCTCCAACCGACCTCCCTAGCTTCCAAGCCATTCTCACTGCTGCAGCCAGAATACTCTTTTAAAAGGCAAATCTGATCATGGCACTCCCAGCTTTAACTATTCCAACAGCTCCCCATGGCACTTGGGATAGAGCCAAACAAGCAGGCTCAATCCTCTCTTCCAGCTTGAACCCAAACTCTCTTTAACATTCTTTCTTCCCTGTTCATGGTTGCCATCAAACATATCCCATGTTCTTTCCTACCACAGGGCCTTTGCACACACATACTGTTTCATGTGTTTGAACTGTCCTTAACCTTCCCTATCATTTTAAGATTCCTCTGACATATATCCCCAGCATCCTATACAACTCGTCACATTTGTAATTCCTTGTTCAAGTCAGCCTCCGTGATGATAACAGTAATAGCAATAATAATAATAATAATATACACCTTTTGAATAATAAGATACAGTTGCTCTCTATTTCAAATGCTTTATGTGCAGAGGTGCTCTAGACCTGGTGGGTACCAGCTCATGAGAGCATGTTGTTAAATTTTCAGGAATGCTGTGAGCTAGCTGATGTCATACTGGTAGCTTGAAATCAGCCATGGTGAGAGTACCTGCACCATGGAAATCAGCAAATGCTACAAACCAATGCTCCCCCGCCCCTTTTCCCTGGAGAGCTGGCTGTTAAACCTTTACCGGCACACCACTATTGCCATGCACCGTATTAGTTAGTCATCATCACAGGTCTGGAAGGTAGGTAGCCCATTTTCTAGATGGGGAAACTAAGAGGTTAAGTCACTCCTGCAAGATTTAAAACTATGTAGAGGCCAGCCAAGCTGTGCGTCCAGCCAGTCTGACCCCAAAGCATGAGCAGTTCACGTTTATTTCACTAGATCATAACGTTGAGGAAGGAAGGTGCCCCCTGGCCTGACTGGTCTGCAGCGTCCCCAGCACAGAGCACAGGGCTGAGCAGAATGGGCACGTTCAACTGATATTTGCTTCAGGAATAAGTCAACGATGTCTCAGCACATCAGGAAAACAGAACTATTTGCCGACACTGCATTGCTAAACAGAAGTCACCAGACAGGATGGCCAGAGCCCTGAGTCCTTGTTCTGACTCCATATTGAATTCAATGGGCAAGTCATTTCTCCCTGGGTCTCAGTTTTCTCACCTGCAACAGAGGGAGTTTGACCAGATGCTCTTCGATGTCTCATTATCTCTAAAATTTCTGGATTTACATGTAACATAACATCTACTATTTTTACTGTTATGTGGGCTCATTTTTTTTTAAATCAGGCTTATCCCCACCTCTCAGGCTGTCATCTGTTCTCTACCTGAGACACTTGCCCCCAATTCATTGACTGCCAGGTGCTATTCTAGCTAACACTGGTGAACCAAACAGAAAACCCAGCCCCGAGGAGGTCCAGGGACAGAGGAAATGTGAATGGAGAGGACAGGAAGTCAAAAAGATAAGGACGGAGGCAGACAGATTTCCACACCTGCGATACATGTCTGTGCTCAATGCCCCTTCCTCAGAGAGACCCTCCCTCATTCTCTATCCTGTCCTTGTCACTATCTGAAATTACATCATGTATGTTCTTGTTGTCTGTCTCCCCCTCTAGAATGCAAGCTTTATTAAGATGGGGGGCTTTATCTTGCCCACTTCTATATCCCAGAGCTGTGCCAGCCCATGGTAGGCATGTAATAAATGCTCATTTAAATGATTCAAAACCTATGTCCCTTTGGAGCTAGAATAGTAAATATTTTATTGCAACTGCAATAGAGTCTTCCATAGATCCACAAAAAAAGGTAACCCAACCAAGATGTGCCTATCACAGAGAGAAAACCTCAAAGGCAAAATGTTAAATATATACCTAAAAATCACCCTCTTCCACCTACTCCTAACTGATACCTAACCCGACATTTACGCTTAAACAAGAACAGGAGGTTAAGTCCAAATGAGAAAGAATACACTATAAAATAATATTATTAGAAATTCATAATATGTCTGATATCGTTTCTTGATTTCTATATTTCTTTCTTTCCCCTTATCTTCTCTTCAAAACAACAATATTCTAGTTGATCTCCCTGCCCTCAGCTGTTCCCCTGACTAACTCAGTCTTTATATATCAACAGCATTCGTTTTTCCTAAGATAACAGCTTTGAGTTACTCTCCCTCACATAGGAACCTTCAATGTCATCCTAGATCTTGCCAAATTAAGTCCTAGCTCCCATACAAGGCCTTTTTTTCATTTTTTAAAACTGCGGTAAAATACACATAACAAAATTTACCCTTTTAACCCACTTGTAAATGTGCAGTTCGGTAGTGTTAAGTACATTCACTTTGCTGCGCAGCCAACCTCCAGAACTTCTGCATCTTGCGAAACTAAAACTCTATACCCATTAAACAACAATTTCCCCCATCCCCCCAGCTCTGGTTACCACCTCTGTCTCTATGAACGTGAACTTTACATCAGTTCCCCAGGCTTTACTTCATGTGACCCTGCTTTACGTCTTTTTTTTAACATCTATTCCCCAGGCTTTTCGTCACGCGACCTTGTTTAATATCACGTGACCCTGTTTTAGGCACCATACAGAACTTTTGAGCTGTTTTATGGTTTCCTTCCCTGCCGTGCCTAGCTCATCTCAGCTAAGTTCTGGTATAAGTTCTACCTAAATGGATCCCCACAGCTGTTGAACCAGCCTTCTCTCCTCCAGATACAAGCACACGTCACCCTTTGCACCTTTGCACGTAAGAGTCCCATAGTTGAAACTCTCTTCCTTTTTCTCTTTACCTACCCAAATCCTCCCCATCCTTAAAAATGGTCTTCAATTTCATCTCCTCCTTGAAACCTCATCCCACTACTCTAGTCCACATTAAAGTCACTCTTCCTGAAACTCGCATTCCATTCACTGGAAATACTAAACATTTTTGAACACTCTAATTCTCCTGCTGTTCTGTGCAATATACCATTGCCTCTTCCAATAGTTTCTAAATTTCCAAACAGGGACCATGTTTTCTATGTCGTTGTCCCTTTAACCTGGAAAAAAGTAGTAGATACAATGTAGGCATTCAACAAATATTGAACCAATTAGATAATTTCTACTTTCATAAAGTTTTTAAATAATTTGAATCACTCTGCAGCATCATTAGGCAACTTTCTTGAATCCTTTTCAAGAAAATTTAGTTATAGCCAGCAACTTTGTTGAATTTTTTAATCTGATTTGCCTGGATAAAAATCTATTCTAGCATGGTTCCAGCTGAATTAAATTCATAAGGATGGACTCCTGAAATGAGGTGCCATGACCGTCTCCCAGACTGCAGAAATTGCTTACATAAAATACAAATTTAGAATCAGGTTCACATGTCCCCTTTCAATGCCTGTCACCCAGTCCACACTTCCCACACCAGTAGAAAGACCTAGAAGAGTTAGAATGATTATAAAGTGTAAAGAGTAGGAACTAGAGCAAAGGTGAACCAAGAGCCAGTCTCCCTTGGAATCATTTTCTCACCCACCTGTGTAAATGAACCTCCCTGGAGCTCCTTTGCAGAACTGTTTGGATTTATAAGATAATGTCACTTCTACTACTCCAGGAATGTGCCGAGGAGGAGTCTGCACTCTGATGGCATGAGGAGTTATTAGCTGAGGAATGAACAGGCAGAGAAATAAAATACCTATTATACAAGTTATCATAGAGATACTGAGCACAGGAGCATCTCCTGCTGCTACCCCCTCCCCCATCCAGGGCAAACTGGTGCACTCATGACACCCCAGATGCTTTGAATGCCCTGTCCCTGTGTCTCATGTGTTTCTCTCTCTCACCCTGGAATTTCCTTTCAACCCAACCTGTGTACGCTTCCCTTCCTCTCAGCCCAGCTCAAGTCCCTCTCACCTCCTGTGCCCCCCCCAACCCCCATCCCTGTCATCATTCCCTCGCCTCATTCCTACACTGCCATGACCTCACAAATTGATTTGGCAATTTCCATTACAAACTTAGCACTGTTACATATCTTTTTGTAACTTGTTTTGCTGTTTTTCTCATTATCACAGTAGAAAAATTGGAAATTACAGAAAAATAAAGAGAAAAATGTTAACATTGCATAACCCAGAGACAACCGTTATTAATCTTTGGCATGTTTCCAGTACTTTTCTATGGTTGTGTGTTATATAATTAGATCTTACATCCATAGATACTGTTGTCCTGGTTTTCTTTCACTTAGCATTATAGCATGTGTTCCCTTTTCCTGTATCATTAAAAATATTTCAAATAAAATTTTTAAATAAATGATGACACTTCATCATTGAACCATTCTCCTATTAGCCAGTATCTAGCCAGTTTCTAATTTTTCAGAATTATAAACAGTACTGCAGTGAATATTTATCTTTTTAAGGGATCCATGCCTGCAGTAAATTGTGGCTTCCATGTCTTTTAATCCTGGTGCCCCACTTATAATAGGTACTCAATAGCGTGTGTTCATGTTGCTGGCATTGCAGAATTACTAGTTTCCCCAGATCAAAACAACCTTTGGGGCAAAGAAAATCAGGGAAGCGAGTTGCCTTTGCCTACCTCACTCCATACAAGCATAGTCCCAAACACCACTTGGAGGCCATCAAAGAAGTTGTCCCCAATGATGATGACCATGGCTCCTCCGGTGGTCCAGCCTTCACTCGGGCTAATGGCTTTGATGCATGGAGTAGCTAAGAAGATAGGAAAGAAGGAATCAGGTTTGCCCTTTGGTGGTTGAAGTTTGGAGTTTGGGGGCTGGCTGCTCTTGGTCATCTCAGAAGTTCAAGTTGAGCTTTGCTGACTTGCCATCATTCCCTAACTGGTTGTTGGTTTTCACCAGGTCATTAAAGCCTAATGAGTTGACCACTACATATGAAAATGGCTAATTGTGCAAAAGGTGCTTTTAAAACGCTGTTGTTTTCACCATATTTTTATAAGTTGATCACACTACAAATGTGTAAATCCCTTTTCTCTCCCCACCTCCTCTGTCCCGAGATGTTAGGATCTACAAGGTCTGTTAATGTGCTAGAGAGAGAAGGAGAAAGCAAAATCTATCAGAGTTGAAGGTTTTTTTCATCTCTATCAAGAGACAATTTCTAATCACTTTCCTAACTTTGTAGGAAGGATTTTCCCTCCTTCTTCCATATGTTCAAGGCCTCTGGACTTTACATCCCAACAGGAACCCAATATGGTTTTCAGGCCATAACTAAAGTCAATCCATCACTCCATTTCCAAAGTTGACAGGGTCAAAGGTGGAGGAGAACTTTGGCAGGACTCCAAAAACATGAACCCCCTTTGAACAGCTAGTCAATCACATCCAATCAGTCAAAAGAAACTGGATGGGTTCCTAGTTCTGAACCCTGGGATTTTCTTCTCCCCTTTCAGTGCCCACTGTGGGAGAATTAACACCACTCCAAATTCTTTACTGATTCAATCATTTTCTTTCAGTTCATTAATTCCTGTTTGAAACGATACAAGACACATTTTAAGGGCCAAGATGGGGTGGGGTCTGGTGGGCAGTATACAGCAAGACATCACACTAAAATAGGAGCCCCATTTAGCCATTCATTCTATATTACAAGAGTTGAGTTGTACACTAATGAGTTGAGGAGTGGGGAAAAAAGAATGTAGATGGGATTTACTTAGGTTTGTCAGTTATCTTCCTCGATATACTTTATTTTCTTGGACAACTTGAAGTTTAACAGTTACCAGTATTTCTAATTACTTGAACGCACTTGGAAAACTACCCAGAGCAGACCATGATTTCTTCTTGTCCAAGCAAACAAAAATCAATTAGTGTCAGTTTCATTCTGCACATTGTTTTGTTTTGCCCACAATCTGTTTAAGGGCACATCTGACACTTATTCATACACGTCTGGCACGGTAATGTTCCTGTTTAACTAAGATGTCATAGGCCTACATTTGCCTGAAATGCCCCTCTAGCAAAAAAAGAAAAAAAAGAAAAACCCACAGAACTGAATGAAAGGGCCGGTGAGGCACGGGGGCCTGAACATTGGCTGGGAGATGTGTGGGGCTTACATGAAAGCAGGCAGAAGTCACTGTTTACAGCTTCATTTTTAAATCCACATGGTCTTGTGTGCTTTCTCCACTCCTACTCAGAGACGTCAATTTGAAACTCAAACAAGGAAATTTGTGGAGAACATCATTTGTCTGCCAGGCTCAGCCTGGACAGCAGAGAGCCCTACCTTCCGATGGGTCCAGCCTTCTCGCTCTCCGCCCGTGCTTTGAGTTGTTATGAACAAACATGTTGTCGGAAACAGCCAGCACGTGTCCATCCACGTTCACCGTTGTTGACAACACGACCTGCAGATTTCAAGGATAAAGGGGGGGGGGGGTTGAGTTAATTTCTCAGAAAGTCGTAAAAGTTGCAAAACTCTTTTGCCAGACTTCCGTATGGCTAACAAGAGACGGACCAGAACTTTGGGATGAGCCATGCTCCTGGCATCTCAACGGGTTAGCCTTTTCCTGTAACAATAGCAGAGCGTCATGGAAAAAGAGGCCGCCTTTCGCCCATGTGCTGTCACGTATTTGTGCTCCAACTATGCCCAGGTGACGAAGTGTGGAAGCTGGCAATCTGACTGACTGGTTCTAGGAACCTCATCTCTATCAAAGGACTTGGACGATCATTCCCAGGTGACCCTTCGGGCTGCAGTCAAGGAGCAGATTGTGTGTGGTCAGGAAGCTAAGACGGAAACACCAGCTGGGAGGTCATTTCTCATTTCTCGGGAATGGGTTCTTGAACATCTGACGTGTGCCAAAGTAACGCTGGGGTATGGACATGCTGCCTGATGTCCTGATGTACCTGGTGTCCCCCATGCTGGAGAGCAGCGGCGGAGATGCTCAGACCTTGGGTGAGAAGGTAAGGTTTCGGAATTCAGTGTTGAAAATGTAGGACATGTAGCATCTAACCAGACGAAAGGGAAGAGATGGGTGTGGAGTAGTGGAAGGGCATGATGTAAAGTCCAACAAAACGGAACTCAAATTCCATGCCTGCTACTTCCTAACTTAGAACCTTTGACGAATTATACTTAACCTTTTCGGATGTCCACTTTTCTTATCTGTAAAACATACACAACAATGCCTATCTTGAGGACTGAATGAGATCAAATAAGGATAAAATGAGAAAATAAATGTAAAGCATTTATGGATGAGTTCCCATCCTAGTTGCCTCGCCCCTGCCTTGTTTGGCCAGTCGATAGGACAGAGGATATTACTCATTGAGCCCCTCCCATAGTCTAAGCTCTGGAGGGGAGGCTCCAGCAAGGGGGACTCAGGGGCTCGGTAACCACAGAAGTTACATGGCACAGTCCCTACCCTCAAAGAGCTTACTTTCAGGTTGGAGAAACATGGCAAACAAGCAAAACAAGTAGCACACAGAATGAGGTCAGATTGGCTGCTATGTGCGTGCTGAAGATCAGGGTGCAGGAGAAGTTCAAAGAGGTGGCGATCAGGTGGAACCGTGGGAAAGCACAGCAGAAACGCATTGACTTGGGCACATCCACGACCTACTTACTGACCCAGGAAGGTGAGTCATCCTAGATACCAGTCCCCTTGTTAGTTACACATGGCACTTTTTTTTTTTGAGAAAGGAACTTGTTACATACATATTCATGTGTATGTATAGACCCGAGGAAAGGCATTGAATAGATATATAATGAAGAGCTGTGTCTAAAAATGGCTCTTCCTGTCCACTCCCAAATTAAATTCACTGATACTCTACTTGGAATTTTTCTGCCATCCCTTCCTTATTAAACAAAGTGGGGACAAACCTTGACCCTGTCTTACCTCTTAACATGAAAGAAGATTCACTGGACAGCACTTAAAGTTTTTTTTACTATGAATTATTTCAAGTAAACAAAATAAATATAATGAACCCCCTTTTGTTAGAGTGAAATGTACATGCATTGAAATGTACAAATCTTAGCTGCACGATTTTGACCAACGGATACAACTAGGTAGTCCACACCATATCACAATACAGAACATTTCTATCTCCCCAGAAAGTTATCTGGTGCCCCTTTTCAGTCCACCCTACCCTCTACCCCTTGCCAAGGCAACACTCTCCTGAATTTTTTTAACCTTAAATAGGATTTCAGATGATATCTCTAAAAAGAACTTTTATATATATTGTAACATAATAAGGGTTTGGGAGAACCCCTAAAATCATGAGTCCACAAAGTATTTCACCTAGCCTGGTGCCATGGCATAACAGTGGCATACAGGAATTTTTACATGGACATAAATGGCTGTAGTTATCAACTCAAAAGTATTCACTGAGCTCCGGGTATGTATTGGGTATTATTATGTCAGGCCCTGGAGATTCTAAGACCACAGAACAATGTGTTCCTGGTTGGCTAGTCTCTCTCCCACACTTCAGCTCCTCACTTGTGAAGGCACTACCGATTCGGTGTCCCTGCCTCGCTGTGACACCAGAATGAACTTAAAGGAAACTCCGTTGTCATTCAGAAAATTATATCAGTGTAATTGCTCACAAGTCAGGGATGCAGCCTGTCTAGCTCCAGGTCTGTTTTCAATTGTGTCCATGTTAAGAGTCTGGGGAAAGGCCTTCCAGAAAGTTCCTATCCTGCGGTGGCAACCATAAGACAGAGACATCCATCACTCCCTGCAAGGGCACGAGGCACAAGCTCTTATCAGGGCCTCTCAGCAGAGCACAGGATGGAATCACAGTCAAAGGGAGAGAGGGGCTGAGTCTCCTAGTCCTGGGGTTAAGATGGACACGAAGGCTGAAAGCAATCACCTCTGTTTCTGCTTACCCGCAGAAAATAATAGGACAAAGCGGAGTAAAAAAAAAAGAGGAATCGGATCACTTTTATAAATTGTGTGCGTGAATGGATTTTCAAAGACGTAGCTGTTAAGATGCAGGGGTGGCAAAGAAGGTAGGCTCCAAAATCGCTCTTAGTCTTTGGCTTTGTAACTGGAAGGATGCTGATTTCATCACATTATTCAGGTAAGACCAAAGAAAGAGTATGCCTTAGTTTATATGCATAAAATACCACATCCACTCCTCAGCTTAATACTTGCTGTTCCCTTGATCAGGAACACTGTTCCCGTCCTTCAACACACAAGTTAAAAAAAAAAAAAAAAAAAAAAAGACATAGCTGTCATCCCTGGAAAAAACCGAAAACGAGAGGGTGCTTCGGGCTTTAACTGCTAACGAGCTGTGCTAGGTGCAAGGAGGGGAACCTCAACCTGTGTGAAGATTATGTGGATGTGAAGAGCGTTCTCTCCGAGACCACGTTAATTCATTCCACAAGCTCCTTGTTATACTGTACTTGAACGCTCCTCGTGCATTCCTGCCACAAAATATGGGGCTTTCTTGAGCCAGCTGATTTCATCATTCTCCATTTGGGTGGAGTGAGACTTGGTTCCAAAGAGAACATTTCCCGAATGACATACCCTGATGGTTCAGATGCACTTCATTATTTTCTATTAACAATGGAAATAAATTTTAATCTCTTGCTGGCTAGCGCTGGCCCCTCATGACAGCAAGGGAATTAACCTGAATTATTTCAGTGTCTGCAAAATTTATTACAAGATTTTAAATTATGTCCAAATGTATGTGCGTGTGCCTGTATATATATAGATATGAGGCAAGTTCCCGTTTTTAATATTCCAAATATCTTAGACTTTGAGGGATCTAAGAGAGCCTGCCAATTTAACTGAATTTATAAAATGTAAAGGATTTGAAACTCCACCACGTGAAACCAGACATGTTTGGTGGTTGTTCTTTTTTTTAGGAATGGTTGTTTTTCTTATACATGGAGACACACACAAATATTGACTTTTCCATACACTCACTCTCCTTCTGGAAGAGTGAACTACATTATGGAGGTAAAGATACATTTGGTACATTCAAAGCTTCGAATTTAACTTCCTTCACTGTCTTCTGATGAACGATGACAACACTGATATTATTCTATTCAGAGAAGTTAAAGTTTCTGAATGTTTGAAGACTGAAGGAAGTAGACTGTGCATTCCAGCATCGTCTCCCTCCCAGGCCTTCCCCTTCCACAAGCCAACTTCTTTCCCCCAGTGAGTATTTCCTGGGTCACGAAGGCTGACCTTTTCCATCTGGAATCAATCAGTCAGCCCCTGACAACTTCCTGAAACACCTCACTCCATTTCCTGTTCTCTCCCCCTTCTCTCTTTCCCCCTGGTTTGCTTCACTCTTCAAAACTGCAGGCCACAGCAGCTTAATGTTAGAGGGTCAGACACAGTTAGACTCCAAAACACTACACAAGGACACCTTTGACCTTCAAAAATCTTTACATCTTAGCTAAACAAATCAAGGTCAACATTTCTTACCATTACCTTGTTAACTATTTGTAGGCATCTTTGCCAACGATCTTCTGATCACAGACTCATCAATACCGCTTGTTCTCCTGAGATCAGAAACTGATCTGTTTTAGAAGTAGCGAATTTAGTATTGACAAAATACCATGAGTATTTTAGTTTGAGGTACCTGAAACTAAAAATCTCGAGTATTATAATAAACATATGGAGAGTATTCCATCCAAAAAGACTTCTCTGTCTCATCAGTGTCTCCTATCACCTAAACCTGATACCTAGTCTTTTATACAGCTGTCAGACTCTCTTGGCACTGCCACTCTGCTGGCACAGCCCGAAAGGATGCCAGTTAGGAATACAGATGTCCATAATTTGTGTGGGATGGACCCCCAGCTTTTGCTGTTGACACTGGTTGACAGCTTTCATTTGTTTCTCAAAGTTGGTGTATCTGTATTTCAGCTCAAAGCTCCAGTAGGAGGAGAGTCTGCGGATCTGAAAACTAAGCCATTGTAGACTAGAGCTCTCCTCGACTGGTACGCTTCAGCTCAACGCAAAAGCAACAACCAATCATACTCACGCAAATATCACTCATGACACGGTAGCTTTCATTCAAGGGGTCAAGAAAGGAGAAGTAAGGATCTATTGAAATTGCTTGCATTTTTTTAAGCGAAAGTAGTTTTTCACGCTTTGCCATTCCTCATTTTGTTTAGCGTGATCTCTAATTTTTGGTGAGGCCAGATCAATAAACGCAGACCAACTGGTGCGTGACAGCGTAGGTTCCCTTTTGAATCATCCAATTAAACGGCAGTTTTAGCTGATGATACAGAAGTAGAAATGTGAGTAAAAAGTTTGTATGTCCCCTTGAAAACGACAAGAAAGTTGTAAGAACAAAAGCTACAACTGTGTGAGCAGTCCGCTCCAAGTACTCAAGAAAACGGATTGGCTTCCTCAAATTATATTTTCCTTCTCATTACCCAAAAGCACTCCCATGTCCC